TGAGTTTCCTTGGTAGTCCTACCCTGAAGGGTCCAAGTACTCCTCACTTTATGACTTGATTAAATATTGTTTTTGACGCCAAACGCCGTGCGTGCGGCAGACTCGGACCCATAGGTTGAGGATAGCCCCTAGCTAAGATCCTTCTACAATTAAAAGAAATTATACAATAGTGAACCCCCGGACTGTGCTAGAATTTAAAACGGCGCTCTTCAAATCCCATCTACTAGACCCTTCAGAAGAACCCTGGACAAGCCCGGGTCCTTTAAGTAAGTACCTGGTAGCCTTCCAGCACCCTTTCAGCATGTAGCCTTGTAGTACCCTTACAGTGACCTGCGAGGACCCTCATAGTCGCTTTGTCGCGCCGTTCTAATAACCTCACTAGTACCTCATAACAAGTTTGTCGAAATCACAAAATAAGCTTCTGTAGTAACCTTCTTCAAGTACCCTACAACACCAGGCAGTGGAAGGCCTCCGCCGTGGTTTGTCTCGTTGCCGCTTGTCTTGCGGCCTCTTGACTGGTCTTGAGAGGATTGTTTGAAGTCACGGCTTTGTAGTGTATAAGGGTGCCGTACTATATTGGGGACCCAGAAAGTGACACCATTTTTTCTGAGAACTACTCCTACATACCCTAATGGTGAAGGGGATTTGGTGGCTTGGGGCTGTACCATAGGCTGTTCGAAGCAACAAAAGTAGTGGGAAGTAGGAGTAGGGTCTCGATATATGAGGCAGAAGTCGAAAGTGAAAGTACTCCCCTGACACATGGGTGCCTAGGATCCTGGTATGTGCGATTGTGTATTTCTTTTTGAGACTCCTAATGGCTGCATTCACATTATTTTCCCCTTTCTAAAAAGGGGCCGATGTGGTCCTACCATGTTTGGTTTATTTTAGTTTCAACGGTTGTCTGATGACAAACTCAGCGACCGGAGAATGATGCCCCCCGAAACTCCAAAACCCAAGCGCAAACGACCACGTCTTACCCTAAACCCTTAACCTTCAGCCCTGGGACCCAAACCCCCTAAACAGCAAGCGCTGAGCCTTCGGCCCTAAAGCTACCGCCTCATGTAGGAACTTTAGGGTTTAGGGTTTAGGGTTTAGGGTTTGGGGTTTCGGTAGTAAGGGTTTTTAAATCCTGATTAAGAAGCCCTGCATCTTTATTAGGGCTCCTTAGTTGAATCCTACTAGTTTGGGGTTATAGGGCCAGTGTTTCTGAATCAGGTTCCTACATTAATCCCCAAACACAAGCCCTAGGCCCTTGACCCTAGACCGGGATATAGCCTCCTGTCATGCAGAAGCCTGAATAAAGTAGCAACGCTCCTCCCTCGGGTTCCTGAAAATACGTATACCCTGCCCCACAATTCCAGCATTAAGCCTAAGACGCTTATACTAAATCCTAAAAGCCTTCATCCTAGAATCCTGAAAGGAACTTTAAAACCCTAAAAGCCCCTAGTCTAAGCCCGATGCCTTACCTAAACCTCCTTTGAACGCCCAGGTCTTCCGCGCACTCCCCTCTCTCCGGGCCCTAGGGGCACGGCCATCGGAGAAGCAGAAGTCGTTTCTAGGCTGCATTGGGTTTAGGGTTTAGGGTTTAGGGTTTAGGGTTTAGGGCATTACCTTACTTACCTGTAGCCGAAAAAACCTTTTTAAGGGTTCCTTGGGTTTCTGTATATAGTTCCTTAAAAAGGTCGGTTTTGGGGGCCACAGGTAAGGACCCTCAACTGTGGGGATTGATGGTATTTTCCTTATTATGGGGGTAATGCAGGATTTATATCATCGACCGTATTGAAGACCCTAAACCCTAAACCCTAAACCCTAACCCTAAACCCTAAACCCTAAACCCTAAAATTCTAGCAATAGAGGGAGGCTCCAGGGTTTTACCCTAAAGGGTCCATGTGCCCAAATAGTACATACTTTGGCCTTAAAGTAGTCCCTATATAGGTACTTTGGGGCCAGAGTATATAGACTATTTGAGTACATGGACCCTTAGGGTTTAGGGGTGAAGTTTAGCGGAGAATGGCCCTATAGTGTAGAGTTCGGTGATAGGTGCGCTCTTGTGCCTCTAGGCAAGCACGCCAGTTTAGGGTTTAGGGGTTTACGGGGTTTTGGGGTTTCGGGTTGTAGCCTTGGTGAAGCTTGTTTTCAGTATTCGGTATGCCAGTTTCCGGAACGAAGAGCCAAAAGCTAGATCCTTTCAATTCGGCTTCTTCGAGCACCCGAGGATCTTAAGATGCCGAACCGCCTAATGTAGGGGCCTTAACTTATAATTAGACTAGGGTTTTGGGGCCCAATATACTATAAGCACCACAAGGAACCCCCCAAAAAATAGTATAGGTCATAATTTAGACCTCCCGATATTATTCCGTAGTTACGGGCTTGGGGAATCCATTACACCAGCCATGACCTACTTTCTATATGAGGTCTTGTCGGGATACAGCCGTTGGTGCTTTTCTATGAAGACCTAGCATCTCTAGATCAAGAAAGCCTTGAAGGTCCATGTACTCAAATAGTCTATACTGTGGCCCGAAAATACCTATATAGGGACTACATTAAGGCCAATGTATATACTATATGAGCACGTGGACCCTTAGGAAAGAACATCCTAAATCACCAAAGCTTACAAACTACGTAAGGTGGTTAACTAGGTCACCTTAGGTTCCTCAAACCCTACATCCCCTATTCACCAAAATAAAACAAGACCGGTAGAAAGTCTGTAAGCCTCAGATGATAATCCCCATAGAGCCCTATAGAACCTTCAACACACCCAAAAAAGACAAACCCAAAACTGCAAGCCACCGCAGGCACCTGAGAAAAAGAACAACTACAAACTAGACGACCCCCTATGCAAAAAAAACTTAACCCTAAACCCTGACCCCCCCTCCCCCCTTAAACAACCCTACACCCTAACCCTGAAACCCTAAACCCTAAACCCTAAACCCTAAACCCTAAACCCTAAACCCTACACCCTACACCCTAAACCCCAAACCCTAAAACCCTAAACCAAAAGCAGCCGGAGCAGGATTTCGGATCCCGTCTTTGGCACCGTGGTCTACTCCTATGCACGGCTCTCCGAATCCTGGGAGGACTTCTTGGATGCATTTCAGCCACTTGGTCCTCTAACAGTGCATTTTGGGGTTTAGGGTTTAGGGTTCTCTAATAGTACTGTTTGGGTTGAGGTTATAGGGTTTAGTTGGATGCATTTCAGCCCCTTGGTTCTCTCATACTACTGTTTAGAGTTTAGGGTTTAGTTTAGGGTTTAGGGTTCAGCCCCTTCCTTCCCTAATAGTATTTTTGGGGTTTAGGGTTGGGTTCAGTTTTGGGTTTGGGGTTTAGGGTTCTCTAGTAGTATATTTGTGGGTTAAGTTTAGGGGCTTTAGGGTTTCGGGTTTAGGGTTCTCTAATACTACATTTTGTGTTAAGTTTGGGGTTTAGGGTTTAGGGTTTAGGGTTCTCTAATAGTACATGTTGGGTTAAGTTTGGGGTTTAGGGTTTGGGGCTAATATTACATTTTGGGTTAAGTTTGGGGTTTAAGGTGTAGGGTTCTCTAATAGCACATGTTGGGTTCAGTTTAGGGTTTAGGGTTTAGGGTTCTCTAATAGTAAATGTTGGGTTCCGTTTAGGGTTTAGGGTTCTCTAATAGCACTGTTTGGGGTTTAGGGTTTAGGGTTCTTTAATAGTACATGTTGGGTACATTTTGGGTTAAGTTTGGGGTTCAGGTTCGCTAATAGTACATGTTGGGTTCAGTTTAGGGTTTAGGGTTTACGGTTCTCTAATAGCAAATGTTGGGTTCAGTTTAGGATTTACGGTTTAGGGTTCTCAACAGTACATTTTGGGTTAAGTTTGGGGTTTAGGGTTTAGGGTTCTCTAATAGTAAATTTTGGGTTGAGGTTACAGGGTTGAGGCTTGAGGTTTCAGGGTTTAGGACTGAGGGTGTAGGATTTAGAGCTTACGCCTTGCAGCTCTTTATCAACTTTCCTTCCAAACAAAGGAAGACAAGATTTGACAAGGATCCCTAAACGCTAAGCCCTAAATATATGCGCGTAGAACCTCGGTCTCTTGGTTTTCCGACATCCACAGGGCTTGGTTGAGCGGTTTGCCACGGTTTAGGGTTTAGGGTTGAGCGGTTTGCGAGATCCTTTTATTTTGCTTGTATATACTCTCTCGGGCCCCCAACACCCTACAACAAAAGAAAGGTTTCCGAAGGGTTCTCCTATCCGCCAACACATCCGGCAGCTCTTCTCGCGCGAGGAGTGGGTTTTCATCAGTGTTCCTTCAGGGATTTTTACCCGAAGCCCTAAACCCTTTAAATGGGGTGCCTCAAGAACTGCTATAGCGGTTTCAGGGTGTGGGTTTCGGGGCTTCAGTCATAAACTCTAACCAAAGCTTCGTGGTTTAGGGGCCGACAGGTTTGGGGGTTTGGGTTTAGGGGTTTAGGGCAGGGTTTAGGGTTTAGTCAGATGGCTTGTAAAATATACAGGGCGGAACGCCAAGGCCAAGCGCGATGTCAATCACCACCTAAGAAAGGCCAAGCACAATGTTTACTGTTGATGGACAAAATCCTGCATGACCCAAATATAGTATAGCACCATAAACCCCATAGTTTAGGTATATAAGGTAATGAGGGATTTTGTCCATCAGCCGTATCACCACCTAAGAAAGGCCACCAGCATTAGCAGTGATCCTGCAGCTCTTGCAATGGCAAGAATCAAGACATGCTGAAGAAGTTCCCAAAGACTCCAAACCCCCTTAATTAAGGTACATACCTTAAACTATAATAGGAATCCTAATCCCTAAGGGTCCATGTGCTCATATAGTATATACATTGGCCTTAATGTAGTCCCTATATAGGTACTTTAGGGCCCATGTATATGCTATATGAGTACATGGACCCTTAGGGCTGTAGAAAAGTGGAAGCATGTGGATTTCGGCCATGCAAGGTCCGGATTCTAGACCCTGCCACCTTGCTATAGCCTTTCCCAAACTGTACGAAGTCCCCATGTCAGGACATGGATGCACAGTTCCAGAGGCTTTTCGACGTCTTGTGCACTGGATCAACAATGACCCGTCACGACTTCGAGCACTTCAGCCGTGGTATCCAGGGGCATCTGCACATTCTGACCGACAAGAAGACCAAGATTGCGCTGCTGTCGCCGACGCAGGAAGATCTACAGTGGATTGCAGCAAACTTCGAGAAAGCCTTCCCGGAGGAGCGGCCACTGAACCGGCAAAACTTTCCGGACGTCGCGAAGCTCGTGCTCCTACGCCGTGTGGTCCGGACGCTCATCGAGTTTGTTGGTATTGACCACATCCAGGGGGGTATGGCTGCTCCTTTGGTTGTCGACATCGCTGTGACTTAGGAGCCCAATAGCTAAACTTTAAACTTTTTTGGTATATTAAGCCCCTAACCCTAAACCCTAAACCCTAAACCCTAAACCCTAAACTTTTTTGAGCCAGGGTACTGGGAAGCTAAGGTGAACCTGGGATCTGCAAAGGGTCCCCCCTTTCGAATCCACACCGTGGCGCCGAGCTCTCGGCCTACCCTGGAGAGCGGCGAAAGACTCAACGCCATTTCCGAGTAGTTGAAAAAGGGCCCCGGCCTTTTTGGTGTGTTTGTGGCCGACAAGAGTGTAGATTATCCTGCAAATATAAGTCTGGCCCATGTGTGTGGGCATGTGGGCATGAGTCCATCTCTGGATGAATGTATTGGTGTCTGCCGGTATGGATGGATGCATGGATGGACGGATGGATGGATATATGCGTAGCTGTATGTACGTGTGTGAATGTGCGTGTGCATGTGATGTGTATGTGTAGATGTAGGTGTAGGTGTAGATGTCTGTGCAGGTGTGGGTGTAGGTGTAGGTGTAGGTGTAGGTTACTGGAGTACATAGATTGTGGTCGGTAACCTACCCTAAACCCCAAACCCTACTAAGGTAACTGGAGCTCTACCTTAAGAACCCAAAACCTACTTTTTTGTAGGGTCCCTATAAATCCCATATTAGGGTTTTGTAATAAGAACCTACAAAAAAAGGTGGGTTTTGGGTTCTTAAGGTAGGGGTTGTTACATGTCTTGAGGGCTGGCCTTGTGTCGCTGGAGCAGGGCTTGTGGCTCTCTGGTTGCAGAGGTTCTACAACATGACGAAACCTGCTTACTGAGTGGTCTTAGGGTTTAGGGAACTGAGGGTTTAGGGTTTAGGATTTTGGGTTTAGGGTTTAGGGTTTAGGATCTTGGGTTACCCAAAGGCCGCGTAGTAGTTTTTTGGGGTTACCTTATAGGATTCTAAATATGAGCCCCAAAAAGGAGCTACTATGGGGCCTAGCGTTTAGGTCATGAGGCCCCTACGAGAAAGTCTGAAAAGTTGCGACAGGGATTAGGGTGATTTGTGTTCGGAGTCTGTGAACTGTACCTTGTAAAACAGATCGAGCACGTGAGTTCTTGCTAAGCAACTCAAGTCAGAGGGCATGTTAAGGGCAAGCTTTTAATCGAGTTTCAAGCAACTGTATTGCCTGAGATACCAAGTAAAGGGACCCAACCGTTGCTTATGCTACATCCCTATCATTATCATGGTATGTCAAGGTAACCTCCGAGAACCCAATACCCCCTTAGTATCTCTTAGTGAGGGAAGGTGCCTAAAGTTCTGGGGCCTCAATACGGTGGTTTAATCCTTAAACCCCGAAACCCCAAAAACCCTCAAAACCTAATTTTGATTCGTCCCCTAAACCCTAAACCCCTACATCCTAAAACCCCTCAAACCCTAATGTAGACTCCTCAATTACGGGGGCTATTGGGCTCTCTGGGCTTAGAGCCAATTGTGGGAGCTACGGGGAACTCCAAGATATCATGACAAGGAGCACACTATCCCCCAATTATCGTGTTCCCTAAATCCTAAACCTATACGAATATCATAAACCATAAGAGCCCAGGTAAAAGGAAGTGCCGGCTTCGGTCAGATCGCATCTTGGTGAGCTGGGGGTAGTGGCCGGGCTTGTAGGTTCATGACGTCGCTTTTGCAAGGATTTTGAAAAGCTTTTCTAGGGAGAGGGTTTATGAGGTTGCTTTGAAGGTTGTCCATTATGGAGGCTCCGACAAAGAGTCACGCCACTGTTAGTGGCCTCTGGCGGTTTGCAGCAGGAAATATGGTTGTAACTCACGCATGGCAGTGTTCGCGGGATGTTTTCGAAGGCTTTTTAGTTTTTAAGAAATGAACTGTTTGAGTGCGGTGTGATGTCAAAAGTATCATGTCTGCCAGTATGTTCATTGTTTTTAGGTTTTCATGTCAGGGTGTGTTTTCCATTGTGTTGTATTGGCGTTTTGGGGTTTTGTGTGTTGGGAGTCTTCGAGATCGTACACGTTCGGGTGAGCATGGCACGGGCAGTGGACTCTTCGGTTCGGCTACATGCAGAACGTGTCTAGAGCAGCGTCAGGGCAACACAGCTGCGAATGGAAGCCGGGAAGAGAAGGAAGAGATGAGTAGAAGGATGCCCACAAATAGGCCGCAGCCATGGAGGCGCCGCAGAAAAGGAAACGGAGGAACGATGATCACAAGCAGGTTGTGGCCCAACTTGCTCCAAAGGCCGAAGGGCTTTGTCTCGTTGGCATCGCGTATCGATAAGAAACAGTAGTCGCTTGACCCGACAGCGGCTACAGACAAACCATGTTCGACCATCACATCAGCCAACTCGTAACTGTCAAGGACGTCCTCGTCCAACATCATCGTCATCCTCATCATGAGCATCATCGTCATCCTCAACATCATCATCATCATCATCATCATCGTTATCAGCGTCTCAAGCAGTCATGTCGTCATTAGCCACCCCCCCCCACCCCACCCCCCACCCCCCCCTCCCCCCGAAGAAGCTTAAACTTAGCGTATTCCCCCAGGCCGCTGACAGAGGCGTGAGCAGAAACCACAGCCAGATCGACGAGGGCAGCTGTTTCAAGGCATTACTATCATTAAGACATATATACACTGTCAACTACGCTTCCCTTACCTTGGCCCGCACAAAACCCAGACAATAAAAAGAAACACTTTTAAGAACAAACAATCAAGGAGATAACAACACGTAGACAAAGTAAAACACCTCAAGAAGCCCGCAGAATTCTGGGCACTAAACCCTAGACCCCTAAAGCCCTAAAGCCCCAAACTCCTAAACCTACGTAGTCACTACATCCGACAAAGGCGACGTTGCCGAAGGAGTGTCGACCTAGTGGCACCATGATCTTCAACTTGCGCTTTGGCTGCCCTTTTTGGGGTCCCTTTTTAGGGCTCCTCAAAGAGATCTATAAGGGTTAGTATAAGTTTTCTGCAAGTGGGTACTGTAAGGGTAGAGAAGTGGCTGTCTTTTTCGGGTCTCCGTGGGCTCTTCTGGAGACTTAGAGCAGGGTTATTTTAAGGTAAGGTTTACTTCAGGGTCTAGAGCTTAGGGCACTATATATGGGTTCTTGGCACTTTTAAGGATTGTTCACCGTGTGGTCTCCGTGCCAAGAGGGCCTAAACAGTCTTTCATGAACGAGGATATCTGACACCATCATACTCAGGCCCTTGCACGTTAAGGTATGGAGCCCAATCATGCGGTAAGCGGGGCCCCTTGATTATGTGCTATATGGGTAGTTGTCAAAATTAGGGTCCCTTTTTGGGGTACCCTAAATAATAGGTGCCGTATTATAATAAGGACCCAAAAAGGGACCCTAATTTTGACAGCCACCCACATAGCAGTCGTTGTGGCATTCTTTGTCTCGCTTCAGAGTTTAGGTAATTTTTGCAGGGATCACTTTGATTTTGGGATGTCGGTTTAGGGTTTACCTTAAGAACCCCAAACCTACTTTTTTGTAGGGTTCCTGAAAATCCCATCTTGGGGTTTATAATAAGAACCTACAAAAAAGTGGGTCTTGGGTTCTTAAGGTAGGGTTTAGGGTTCGCATTTACTGGAAAATCCTCGCCAAGGCGTTGGTTCGGTTTAGGATTTAGGGGTTTAGGGTTTAGGGTTTAGGGTTTAGAGTTTTCAAGCGGGTCCGTGCTGGCTATGGTATTTCGACCCATGGGGTGTAAGGACTCAGGTTTCTTTACAGTAGAAGCCAGAAAGTTGGAACATCATGATCCTCATGCCCTTGAGGTAAA